ACTTAAATCAAGGGGGTTTCTGTGAACTCAGTATGTTCCAAGGAGCTCCCTCTTTACTGTTACATTGCATTTCCTCTGCATTTAATCCACATACTTCTATTGATAACCCTGCCCCAGAGCTGCGGTGTCTTCTTGGCTGGATTGGGTGGGCTGTGCTTGTGCCAGAAGCACATATTGCTTTTTGTAGGTTTCAAATAAAGATAGAAGATATTATGGCATCTCTGATCTGACTTCCTTCATCCAGCTTCTGCTGGTACAATCTGATCTTTAGTGTTAGCATAGCATACAGTAATTAAGACTAATCCTCTTCATGGTAGTTCCACAGAAGAGAAATTCTCTAAATTCAGTTATGCTCTGCCTCCCAGTAACAGCAGCAAGAGTCAGGATCAAGTCAGCCCCTGGACTGGGATTATAAACATTTCATAGTTTTGCTCCAAAATGGAATCCAATGACCTAGTCCACAAAGCCTTTGTTCCCCACCCCTCTCCTGCATGAACAGCCTACATCCTGTTTGTACCTTCCACAGTTACTAATGAGATAGGAAAATACACTTGCAGTGATGGGAAGTCACAGTGTTGGTGAAGTCTTTTCAGTGCAGAGCAGTGCCTGGTGACTCCCTGGGCTGACTGACTTACTGACATATTCCCAATTTCTTCTTCCTGTTAAATATCATTGATTTCAGAGTAAGGGTATCAGGAAGGGTAATTATTATGGAGACTAGATAATTATGATTAACTCTGTTAATTATTATAGTATTGCCTTTGAGAAACAGCATCCTTCCCTCCCAAAGATGGGCTGCTTCTAATTCTGAAGGGAAATGGCACTAAGTAGTTGTATTGTGAAGATATGTGACATTCTAATTCACTATAGGTACCTCACTACAGCTAGCTAATTGCAGAACCAGAGCTCTTGAAGATAAAGATTCTATCTGCTACAGACAATGTGCAATTGTCCTGGATACAGCAAGTATGGCTCATATGCACCGGCAGGAAATCCCAGGCTAGACAATCAACTTATGTTTCTGAGTTTTGCTCTGATTTTGCCAAATGGTATCATGATGATGTCTGTGACATGACTAGAGCCTAATGCCTTTTAAAATACAATATGGTATAGCATCTGTCTGCACAACGTGGATAGATCTGAAGCAGTTTTAAATAGCAACAGTCTATTTGCAAGACCATGGAGTTCAGCATGAATTGATATGGCCAGAATCTGCAAGTGGCTTTCCTTCTCAGTTCTCTGCTGCCAGTATCCAAATTTTCCATCAGCAACCATATTTACCTGGATCCATGCCTGTTACCTGCAGCAGAAATTGCAATGTACATTCAGATCAGTTTGGGAGTTTTTTTATGATTACACTTAAGATCTCTGATTATGCAGAATACTTTATCATCAACCTTTCTACTTCTGTTAACTACGGTCAGAGCTGAAGGAGCTGGTATGTTTGGTCCCAGAATCTGAAAATGCAGAAGCTAAGCAATAAAAACATGATTATATGCATATTTTCCCTTTCCCACAAAGAATCTGCCTGAGTTTTAACTAGATCTGGACCAGCAGAGGAATATTTCCAAATATAATGCCAACAGTGTTTGAGTGAAAACAACTCAGTGCCATGTAACTGGCCCACTGCCTCACAGCCTCTTTGCTGCCTTCTAAAATAGCTTTTGATCCCCAACCAATTCTAAGCTGTTGTATATGGGAGAAAAAGAAATCTCTTCCCAGCCCCCCCTGAAGACTTGCTGATGTTTTTTGATCTACGTACTTGCCCATTTCAATGACTCCGTCATGTTTTTACTCATTCTTGAATACTGGAGTCTGAAGGCTTCGTGTGAGACTAGAAATGTGATTCTTTATTCTATTCCCACAGTTGTGTTTCTCAGTGCTCCTTTTTTCCTACACATCACTGTCCCTGAGAAGGTAGTACAAGCTACGTATTTATTTTCAAGGAATAAGATAAAGAGTTGGGAATGGATAGTCTTTTTCTACAGGAAAGGCTTAACAAGGAGACAGGGAACTTTTTGTCCAACTACTTTTTGCATGTGGCTTTGATTATCAGCATGACACTGGCAAAGCTTTTGGCATTCCTGCCAATCCTTGATGGAAGAGAAAATGTGGGTTCTAACCTGTGCTATTTGAGCACGTAGCAAAATCCTAGAGTACAGCTGTCTCCTGTCCCCCACATCAGCCAGAGAGTACGAATGCTAAGTTTACCTCATCACTTCAAAGTTATGAATTTTGTTTATTGCTAGGTTAAGCTCAGTTACGAGCTCGCACTAGATCATTTGGGATTTAACTATAAGAGGAACAGTGGGGGTGGGACATGCAAAGACACATCCTCAGCATTGGCTGATATCTTCCCTCTTCACCAACTGAAATTGCTGAGGTCTCCAGAGGAACTGAAACTGCTGAGATCTCTGCAGCTGCACCTTTGTGCTCCTGCTCAACCCTTTGTACACTTCAGTCCCACCATCACTTTGCTATTAGCTACAACATGTGCAGCTTGCTCAGACAGATAGACTGGAAAGCCATTTTGCCACAAGCTTTTCTTTCCCACTAGTGAAATAAGAAGACCATTTAACTATGAAGTCTTGACCTCAACACTTGTCAAGAACCTTAACGTGCACTTAATATGTCAGTTTTCAGTGCACTCTCTGCTGTCTTTTAACTGAAAGTACTTCCAGCATGAGTCATTGTAAGCCACTTCAACACAGGTACAGTCTACATACTTCTTTTGTTTAAGGGCCTTGCACTGCTCCTCGTGTGTCCCCCAAACCATTGCTGAAGCACCACACTTAGTGACGTGGAAAGGCAGGCAAGGTAGCTGCAAAAAAAACCAAGCTGTCATATCACACCCTTCCTCCATGACAAGATCTTCCCCAGATCTTCTACCACATCTCAATGCAGGAACCTCTCGTGCTCTACTGTTTCCTGTGTTATTCATCAAACAATTTCTCCATCTTCCTCTTTATTTTGAAATACAATTTTGTAGAATCCCCTAATGTCCATACTGCCCAGTCCCTTGTTTTTCAAGGCTGGTTCTGTAAATAATTAGCAGATGATGCTTGCTCTGCAAACTCATCTCTCTCTTTCTGCTGTCGATGTTACTCTACTGTCATACTTGCACTACATTTCCCCAGTCCCACAATCCTGCAGTGTGTGCTCCATCTGACAACACCTACAGAAACTGAATTACAGGAAGAAGTGTTTGTGACACACCACATTGCATGAAACTGGGCTAGCATTGCACAGCTCTTCATGTTGCTCCCCATTACAGTTTGTCTGGAGGCAGGATGACCTCAAAGCCTGTATAAGAGGGCAGATAAACAGACTCCAGAAGGGAATAAGGGATTATGGGAAGAAATATCTCTTTCAGATTGGTGGATTCACTGATGGACCATTTTTTTTTACTTTGAAGATCACATATGCAGGGGAGACTGTGAGAGCACACATGCATTAAGAGATACTGAAGTCAGTGGCTTTCAGTTCTGTACTTAAAAAAATCAACCTTTTTGCTAATGCAGCAATAGGGCTTTTCTTACAAAACTGTAAATTATAGAGGCAGATAATGATAGGAGTAGATATTTATTCTGGTAAAACTTCAGGCAGAGCCGCTGTTTGTGAACGACTAACTTAGAACATGTCCTGTAGCACCACCTAGCAGGCTAATTTAAAAGCGGCCTGTATCCCTTACTCCCCGACTTCGAGTTGCTTATACAACAGACGTAGGCTGCATTCCGTTCTTTCATCTCCCATCCTGTCGCAGCTGCTTCTTAAAACCAGAATTGTGTCAGCCTGGTGCTTAGAAAAGCTGCGATCTCTACTCTCCATAATCACGTTTATGATGAAGCATTTAAAAGAACCTACACTATTAATGCAAACTGAACAAATACCGTGTGTATTTGCATGAGAAATCATTGGCCTCTAGACATCAGCTGGGAAAGGCACCTTTCAGAAAGTACAAACCAATCCAAACATTTATCCAAATTCTCCACTAGAGTAAGTGAGTCCTAGCAATAAGCAGGCTTTCAAAATCCATCATCAGTGTGTCTGAATTAGTGTGGAGTACAGTCCAAAGCGGTCCCTCCTCATCCGCACTTTTCCTTTGTACTTCTGCATGGAGGATGAGTGTCAGTACCTATTTACAGATGATAAGTTTTGGCAGATAATGGAATTTCACGCTGAGGCTGCAGACCCACGGCTATTAAAGTTCTCTGCTGATAAAGGGGAAGATGAAGCTCCACTTTCCTTTTTTTGCCGGCTGCCTCTCACTTTATTAGAGCCTTGGCACTCTTCAGACTTTTCCATGATCCCATTCAAGTTAGTAACTAGTAGAAAATGATTGAGGTTGCTTTTTTTGTTTGTTTTCACTATGAGAAGTTTCCTGCTGACAGTGAGTTAAAAGCAGGTCATGAAAAGGTCTGATGAATGCCAGACCTGGCAAAAAGTGAGGTTCAGAGGGAGAAAGATGTGGGGAAGGTAAGATCTTTTCTCTGACTTCTCCCTTTGGGTGGCAGCAAACTGCTAATCTGTCCTGCCATTCTGCATAAAACTATAACCTAAGGCTAGAACAGAGTCCTCTCACAAAGAAGGGTGTTTTCTTAGCAGTTAGCAACTTGCCTAATTGGGAGTTAAAACCAAGGATGCCATCAATAGTCTCTGTTCAGGTAAGGAGATAAGCTGGCTAGGCCTGGGCAGCTGGGTCTGTGTAGCACTAGCATTTCTATAATGCTGGGGACCAGCAGGAGATCACTGAGCAGGAAAAAGATGAGAGTGATATGTTTATTAGGGGACTTTCATAGAAATTGTAGCAGAATATTACAATTCGAATGAAAGCTCTGAAGTTCACAGTCTCAACCCTTTTATCTGAAGATAGATCTCAAGCCAAAATTCAAAATTGGTCTTCTCTGCACTGACCAAACCAGGGGACCTCAGCCCTCATCCTGATCGTCTGCTCTTCCATCACCTTTTGGCCCTGCGTTGTTTCTGCAGCAGCTGGGCTCTGTTAATGGTGTATAAAGAGGGGATTTAAGCAGGATTAACCCATGCAGCTGTAACACTGAAACACAAGGACACATATTAAAACCCCAACGACACACAGTTTTCCCCGTTGCTGTCACAGCACACAGCTGACGTTTCTGAGCTGCAAACCTCAGCTGCCCAAAACTTGAAGAATTCTGCATGAAACGGTGACTTTAATTTCTGAAATGAGGGGAACGTTTCTCTCACACAAAACGCCTCTGCACCGCGTGCTGACACCACACCAGGCTCGGGCCGAGCCGGATGGGGCTGGCACAGCTGTCCCCACGCCTGCAGCTCTTCCAGCTGGCACCGCGGCCCTGCGGCAGCTGCTGCGGGTTTCTGGGCTTCGGGGGGCGGGGAGGCGGCACGACCCGGGGCACGGCGCCTGCGGTAGCCAAGCCATGCAGCACGGCACGCGGCGCAGAGGGGAAGGGGGTGGACGTTCTAGCTTTAAAACGCTCCGTTAAGAAGACGAGCCCCATCGCCCGCCCCTTCCTCTTCCGCCCGTCGGAGCCCCGCCTCGGCTGCAGCCGCGGTGCGGCAGCCCCGGTAGGTGCGGGAGCGGCGGTGCTGCTCTTTCGCTGCCGTCGGGGCGGACTGCCGGCACCAGGGCACCGCTGGAGCTGGGCGCGGAGCGGAGCGGTCACCGGGCTTCTGCGGGACGGGAGGGAGAGGGAACGGCTTCTCGGCCGGCCCCGGCCTGCTTTTGCAGCTGAAATCCTCGTTCTCATGAATTTGTCCGTACGCGTGCACGCAGTGGCATAGAGTATTTCAGCTCTTGAGGGAGACAGGCCTATAAATCGTGGTGTGGCTTCATCAGAATTCAGGCAGTTAAGTCAGAGTTTGCGGGGTGTGCTCCGCTATAAATCGCCACGTGGCTCCTGCTTGCCTTCCTTACGAGTAAGTTGCACAGAGGTTAAGAATACCACGTGCCTGCGGTGGTGGTGTGCGCTCTGAGCCTGGGGCGGCTGGGTGCTGACAGAGCCTGGGGGTGTTTCTTCCTCTTATCTTCTCATGGACGCTGACCACCACGCAAACTGATTACTGGTTGCACTGGGTGCGTGGCAGGATGGTAGGCTGTCATCCAGCCGGGACTGGCCCTCCCTATAATGGCACAGCCTTCCCACCAGATCCACCTACCAGTCTGCCTTTGCCAAGAGGTCGTTAACTCCCAGGGAATCCTTTGTATTTAATATTACCATTTTCTGCTTTTAGCTCCACTGCCGAGGATGTTTTCTCCCAAAAGTGGGTTTTCAGCCAAGCTTTCAGTGCTTTGGAGTGTTTTTCTTAAATAATTTTGTCAAGCAAATCAGCACCTCCAGTCCTCTGCGGTGTGTTAGAATGCCACTAGTTGTTATACTGCAAGTGTAATGATTGTATACTTACATGCATCATTGTTTCTGTTAAGCACTCAATGAGTGTTTGGTGCAGTATAAACATTCAAGGGTTCTTCTGGTGAATTTACGGTTTGAAAAGATTTCACAGGAAGGAGTTGTACTAACCTATCATTAAAACACCGCCTTTAATTTAATCCCTTTCTGCACCCCTATGATTGATACCCATTTGCTGTTGATCATGGCTGCTGTATCCCGGCACATCACACAGTGCTGGTTTGTGATGTTACAGCCCCCACTTGTCTGCTTTACCCTTTGAGGGAGGGTATTGTTCAGCCTGAGTGGAAGAAAAGAGCAAAGTTTCAGCTGCTGCGGTACAAAGCCCAGCAGCTCAGCAAAACCCAGCTTTGTTGGTGCTCTGCACTGAGGCCTCAGTGGTTCCATCCAAACAGTTTTGCCACCTTGGCTTCTCATGAGGACAGCTGGAAATAGCAGTATCTGAAACAGCTGCAGCAAGATTCTCCCCAGCACGTGTGTTAAGGCTCTGAGAGATGAAGCATTGCAAAATGCAGATGGGAACGGGCACCCAAGTGTCACTGATATCTTTTGGATTTAGGCACCTAATTCATAGAATCATAGAATGGCTTAGGTTGGAAGGGTCCTTGAAAATCATCTAGTTCCACTCCCTTGCTGCAGGCAGGGTTGGATTAACCAGTAATTAACCACTTATTAACTGTTATGACTTTACAGTCGCATCATTTTAGGAGAGGATTTTGTAGCCACTGGGATTTTTTTAAGAGATTAGAGCTCTCCTAGGTTCTAACCCATCATATGGCTTGGTCCATAAAAGGAGCTGATAGTCCCCAAGGGAAGCAGAACTCTTGAACTGAAGGAGCTTGCAGGTTGGAAAGTCTTTATATTTATCAGCTGATTTGAATAGTCACAACATAGCCATCTGCCCTGAAACAGTTTCTATCTCAGTTTCTGCCCTGAATGGCTTGAATTATTTGTCAGACAAATTATTTCAGACAAATTTTTTTTAAAGTTGCCCCTGAAAGGATGCTGGTGTTTGAAAATAGCTGTTTGCTGAGTAAGACAGAACCACAACCTGGCAGGTGAAATCTGAAAAACTGGAAGAAGGACGTACTGTTCTTTTTCTTTGCATTTTGAAGTTGATTATCCATTAGAAGAAACTCCAAAGGCCAATTCTGTCTCTTGAAATTTCTGAATCAAGATATGATTCCATTTGGGATGTTTTAGTTAAGTTCAAGTTACTGAGTTTAGTTTTGAGGTAACTAAATAAAATTCTTGGAGATATATAGTGGAGGAAGTTAGGGTAGATTCATCTAATTATTTTCTCTTTCTGGCCTTAATATCTGCAGTCTGTTGCCGTAGTGGAATGCAGCAGTAGGACTGTGCTGGCAAGGAGTAGTGCATCGGGTAAATACAGAATGTCTATTGATTGCTGGGGGAGGAGAAAGCGTGGTGGCTTTATTATTGGCTTTACCACAATGAATTGATTTACTGGAGGAGAGGGAGAAGTTAATTCTTTGTTTCAATTATCCTTTGTTATTCAGAGGTCCCGAAATTAATGAGTATTGCCTTCTGTTGAAGTATTCTGTGTTTTGTTGATGTAAATGAAGATTTGTTTCATCGGTTATTGTTCTCTGCTGCTTCTTACGTTGTTTTTAAAACGCTACAGGAATGCAAGACCCATTTAAGCACACTTTAATTCCTGATTTTTGTATTACAAACAGGTTAGGATTTGACTATGGGAGTGCGGTTCCTGTGGAAGACATCTGTCTGGTTAAAGAAGCACAAGATCACCTTGTTGGCTACTTCTTGCGTGGGACTGTTTGGTGCTAACCTTTCCTATCATGCATTTCCTGAGCAGACGTTCAAACTGTTGCACGAGTGCTGGTCAGATGGGCAGCCAGCTGAGCTTTCTCAGAGGCTCCGTGCTGTCTTTCAGGATGTCCTTCAAGATACTGCAGTGAAGTCCACCAATTACCAGGCCTTTGCAGCTTCTGGCTTCCACCCGGTCAGTGCTGGAATCCCCTGGCTGCCTGCGGGTTCTTTGGTGGGCATCCCTCCTAATTTTGATAGCACAATCGAGGATAAAAGAGGAATAGTCAACCACGTTGTTGTGATTGGTGGCAAGAAAGTAGACTGGGAAAGCAATGAAGGTGTTGCTTTGAAGGAAGCTCTGACGTTTTCACTTGAAGCACAGAAGTTTGCACTTGCCAGAGAAGTTGTGTATTTGCAGAATGGCAGCCCGTTAGCAAGTGCAGCCGTGGCTCCAATGTGCTTAGCTGGTACGTGTCTGTGTGGGACAGGTATAAAGATAGCTCTGGGTCTGCATTCTGGCCCCAGGGTACTTCGCAGCATCTGTAACCTCATAATTGCTGCCGCTGGACTAATCCTCTATTACATTTCTTATGATGCTATGACCTATCACCTGGACTGCAAGGCTGACAGAAATGCAGCTAGTGTATCCAAAGACTATGCCAAAGGTGGGGTGGAATTTTATGACAAAATCCTGTCCCGCAACAGGATTCTTCGTGCTCTGATGGGCAAAGAAGGGACAAAAATATATGCCCCAAGTGGTAACCTTTTCCCAAGGCACTGGTTCAGATTAAAGTATACCCCATACACTTACCGAAGAGATTTAATTGTTAATATTTTAAAAGAGCTCCAGGCATAGGAAGGGAGTGCTTGAATTTTAAGCTTGTAAATTATGTATTCTCTTTGGAACACTGCTGTGCTGCTTTTTTTTTTTTTTTCTTCCCTGTGTCTTCATTAGAATTTTGGGGTTTATTTTTGCATATAGTTTGGAAGGAGTTATTGCACATTCCGTGAATAAAGAATTCTCTCTTAAAATATTAAAGAGTTGCACACAGAACGGAGCACTTTTGAAGCATCTTAAATCACAAGACCACTGAGGAAGGGAGCTGCTCAGATGCTAATCTGGAACTTGTGCTGTTCTGCTCCCCCTTACTGCCAGTTCCAGGCTGGAAAATGGAAAGGATAAAGTCAAACAGAGGTTGATCATTATCATTTAAACAAGGGTTTAGTTTTTTGCTATTCTTCCTATGTTACAGTCCTAAGATGTTGAAATGACTGGGAGTCTGTGTTATGCAGTTACATAAATACTGAGACACAGCACTTATGTTCTGTGTAAGTTCTTATGCTATGTAAATTCTTACAGTACAATCACTATTCTTCAGTATAGCAGGTGAATTATGCTGCCATTTACACAAATACAGCTAGATTACTACAGCACCTGGAGCTTAAATCCAGTTTCATCAGGATGTCACTGTGACTGCAGTGAGGATGAGTGTCCCAACAGCAGGAGTATGAAACCAACATCTGCCATAAGTTGGGTGTTTTCTCACAAGTGGGATCGTGCTGTTCAGAAGAGGAATTTCGGTTTGCTTTGGTAGGGCTTTTGTTTCATTTTAAAATACATCTTGATTTTTGTCAACTTTTATGTCAAGGAATAAAGACAAGGTCAAAGAAATAAGTCTCTATCCATCACAATAATAAGTCTTGTCAATGTTTACTCAAAGTATCGCCGAGTTCTGTTTTGCTTTGGATCACGTATTGACATAGAGTTGATATACTGACAGCTGGGGCACTGGTCTTGCTTTACATTGCTTAAGCTGTATCTTTTAAGTTGTTTGGGTTACTGCTGTGTGATGGGTATTTTTCTGAACCATCTCTGATCACTCGTGTTTGTCCTTGAAGCATCAAGTCATGAGATGCTTCTTAGGTTCTTTCTGGCTGTGGGACATAAGTTTATTGTTCTCTTGACCTTTCTGAAAGAGTTTGGCAGAATCTCCTGTTCCATGGAATAAAGAGACTTTACTTTCAGGCTGCAGGTTTTCAAAGCTCCAGGCTAAATTTTATTTGTCTTTTCTTCCAGGTAAATCCAATATAAAAGGTCAAGATAGAGTTTTGCTGGTTTAGTAACGTAGTGGCTCGAGGCTGGAATATAATTCCTGTTTTATGTAGTCTGTGAATTCAATTCATCTTCATGCTACTCCATTAAGTCTGAATTCCATTAAATAACACAGGAGAGAACTTGGCCCACTTGCTTGGCTTAAGGAGTTGCTACTACATAAAGAGTGCAGAGAGGAAATAGAGTCCTTATTTGAGATTTATAGCAGTAGCAATTTAAAGCAAAATTTAGTTTAAAAAATCAACCAGTCCTTGCTGCTTTTCATCAGGGTGCCTGCAGCTTGTGCTGTTATTTGACATTCTCAGGCTGTAAAGCCCCAGTAATGCTAATGGATTTTGCAGTTGTGCTCTTTGCGTTACTCTTCCAGCTGGGTTGTCCAAGCAGCTCCAAGTATCTGTAGGTGCTGTGTCAGATTTAGCCTTCTTTTAACTTGCCATGGCACATTGGTGTCAGCGTGGGATTGCAGGCTAGTTGTTCTGAGATATACTCTCTTGCCTTCTTAAGAGATGTGCTTACGAAGGGCTTGCACATCTGGATCTCTGTATAGTCAAGCTCCTATTCTATAGCCAGCCATGAAATCTGGAAGTGTAGTCCTGTCAACAGAGAAGTGTCCAAATCACAACTGCTAATTAAGAGTTCCCATAATTTTGGGAAGCATGAATTATCCTGCAAACTCAAGTATATGGCCATGAAAATACTCATGCAAAGTCTTACAATATTGCAAAAATAGAAAAATGATGGGGAAAAGCAAGTTTATTCAGTGGCCCAGACTCAGTTTACAGATAATGTCATAGTCTCCAATAGTTCTGAAGCTGAAAATCAGAGGAATTCAGGAAGCATGTTATGTTTGTAACTGGCTTCTCTTACAGTGCTCAGATGAGACAGATGTGGTACAGGTTTTCATGCAGAAAAGCAACATAAAATGTAAAGCAAAGGGAATTGCTAGGAGGCTGATATAAGAAGTTTCAGCCAAGCAAGTATAAAAGCCAGAGTGTGAATGAAATAATGAACTCTCATAAAAATGAATACTGACTGCAAAAACGAGGCTTTCTTTCTGTCTGGTGCAGTAAATTGATTAGAGCATGAAGTATGAGGAGAAAATGACCACAATGAGTCACTAGTTTAAATGTATACACAATCTTCTTTAAAGAGAGGTTTCCCTGACATGTTTACTTACACTATTATCCTGAATTTCTAGATAACTAGAGAAACTGAAGAGAAAATGGTCTTTGTAACATAATTTTTATATAAATGTTTGCTGATACATAAATCTGTAAAGTATAATGGTGCAGGAGATGAGAGCTCCATGGATGCTTTGCTCAGAATTCCCACTGGCGTGGAGAAATGCAGCTTTTCTTTTCCCATACTAAGAGTGATGGTTACTTGTCAGGGAGGTGCCTTCAGCTTGTTTAATGGTCAGGAAGGTAAAGCTGTCAGAAGCACAGCAGGACTGAGCAGAGCAATTTTCTTATAGCCAGGCAAATAGTAGAAATAATCTGATTTAAAGTCAGTTTTGAATTGCCTCCTTATGTCGCTTACAGGGAGAAGCAGCTTCAGAAGTGGCTGAAGTGAAACCCCTGTCTAGCTTGCGTGTGAATTAGGTTGCCCAGGATATTGCTATGAGGGCTTCAATTGAAGCGCAGTATCAGTTTAGACAACAGCACGTCTTATCACAGCAGAGCACTGTTATCACCTCTTTTCACATTAAAGTGGCTTCCAGAACCTGACCGATAGGACGATGAGTGCTGACTGGAGCCCGCTGCCCTACAGGGTGTGCTGCTGGTGGTGAAGAAAGTGAGGCTGGGAGCCGGGCTCCTGCTCTGCAGTTTCTGTAGCAGTTGTGAAACATCCATTGTGACAAAGTGTGGCTTGGGTGGGAGTGAATTAAAATGTATGAATCGAGTCATCGCCCTCTGACTGAATCACAGGCAGCTTTCATTAAAGGAACAAATGCAGACAATCTACCCCAGAGTGAGTAGTGCCGTGCACAGCAGTTGTAGGCATCACTAAAACAACTGCAGGCATCTCCACTATGTGGGAATGCAATGCCTGGCAAGCACTGAGGCAAGTATTTGGGCCACATCCTGCAACTGTTATCTGCTCTTGTTCGTTAGAAGCTTCACGGAGCAGGTGTGATGATTTCATTAGTATAAACATGATTCAGTTGCAGACAGCCTGTTGCGTGTGCAGGCACCATGTTCCTCCTTGATTTCATTCATCTCAGCTGGAAATGTGTCTGAGAAAGGCAGAATGCACTGGTAAGTAAAGGGATGCTAATGTAGGAAGGCATCACTAAGATTTCAGGGCAGGGAGAATGCTTGCAGAGAAAGAGAGGAAATGAATTTGGTTGGTGTCACAGCTAGACTTAAAAACAGTGCCCTGATTCTCTAGGAATTGTTAGACAAGTGAAATCTGGAGGAGGTGAAATGTGGATGTTGGTGGATATTAGCTGAACTTCTTTTTCATTGAGTGTGTATCATCAGTTTGTTTAGCAAAACAGAGTACCCTTAAGCTGTTCTATCTGCCACATCTGTAAAGAAAAGAAAATTGTTAAAACATGGCAAGAAATTAGTCTGTGTTTCCCATCTGAAAAGAAAAATTCTTTTTTTCGTTTTTTTTCTTTTTTGGATAAGGCAGCCTGTCTGGCTGTGAAACTGACATCAGAATTCTCCAGAAATGCTCTCAGTTTCCTCAGTCAGACGGAGGTTGCCACGATCACAGAAGCCAGGAGCTTTCTGTGCGCTGCAGCTCACATGTGAACGGGGCATGAGTTTGAAGGGAAGAGCCCTCATCAAATCATGCTTCCTAGTATGTGGGGATCTTTATTCCATCCTCTGGAAGTCAGGCCATTTTTCTATTGTTTGCTGAAACAATTTTCCACTGGGAATGTTGTTGCTGCTGTATTCTGTTCCTTTGCATTTCCCCTTGCCCTGCTGCTCTAATTGCCTCTGCTGACTCACTTTGCAAGCTGCTGCAGCTCATTCATGTAATTTAGGAACTTATTAAGTTCTCTCTTGCTACTTGCACTTTCATTTGCACTACCTACTTGCTCCCATAGTGCTTGCTAGCCAAAGACCACAGCAGCTTGAACTTCTCTTTTGTTTAATTGGGTTTAGACTACTTTTTTTTTTTTTTTTTTTTGGCAAGGAAAAATGCCTTTAGCTAACTGAAAAATAAGTAATGTGGTTAAAAACCTTCATGTTTTGGCTATGAAAAAAAAAATAATAACCTTGCTTTTGAATTTTCCATTTAGCATTACATTTTAAATTTAGCATTATATGTATTTCTTGCTTGCAGTCACTGGCACCTAGTTCACTTTTGATCTTAGTGCCATTTGGCAATTTTTAGATGCTGCTGTCCTCTCTAAGCCCCTAAAAGAGGACGCATAAAGCCCTGTTCCTGAAGGTTGCAGGGAATTTCATGCACTGTTGTGGTTGGGTGATAGAACCTGGCTTGAGAAATAATAACTGGTGTTGTGCCATTATGTGCTTGTACTGACGTTGACCAGCTGTGTTGGTGTTACAGCTTGTGTCAGTTCTGTGCCATGCTGGTTCTGCTGGTCCAAACTGGCTGTGCTACTCTTATTTCCAGCCTGAGAAAAATGGAATTTTGCAAAGTCCCTTCACCACAAATAAAACTGTCAATATTGTTGTATTTTGTCTGAGACTGAAGCCTTAATTTGTGATATGAAAACTAGAATGTAACCAGAAGTGAAAATTAGTAAATTACTCCACTGTAACTATAAAGAAATGTGATGAATGAGGAAGTAAAGACAAGGCTATAATCTCCTTTACTATTGCAAAGCTCAATTCATTCTTAACAAATGAATGGGGAGATTGAAAATTAAGATCAAGCTACACTGTAAATAACGATGCCAATTTTTATACTTTTTTTTTCTCCATTTCCTGACTAGACTGGAGGCATCTATAAATATTTTAGAAAACAGAGCAGAGGAAGAGTTACTCTGTAGAAAGTTTTCCTTGTAAGATCTTCTCTCGAATGGGCTGAGCTCTACTGCCTCAGTGGCTGCGTTATAAAAGCGTGTTATATAATTCTCTGTAGATACCAATAGACAGATGTATTTATGGGTTTTGGAAACTTCATGTAATTTAGGCATAAAACTTGAAGTGTGTTTTGTAGTTCCTCATTAATAATAGTTGAGAATTATGCTCATCTAAGGCAGCACACATAAATTCTTAATGTTCAGACATTCATTATATGCCTATGATGGTTAGAAGTTGCCATAGGAAAATAAAAGCCCGTGCTCCCAAAAGTTTATGTATATATTTATATATATATATATATATATATATATATGTATTCTTCTTAGCAATATGGAAAATTGTGTTCATTCTCTTACACTTCTTTCCTCTCTGCTTCCTTGTTCTTCCACTTCATCTACCAAAGCAGTTCTGAGTATTGGAAAAGTCAAATCAGAAATGAGACAAACATTTTATCAATACAGTTTTCATTGAGCATGTTGTCACCTTATAATAGGAAATGCTGAAGCCATCTTTTTATGGTGGTTATAAATCCAGAGAGTTTTTTGTAATCACAGTTTATTGATCTTAATGTTCCCTTGCATCATGTGCAAAGCTGGCTCTGACATAGTTGTGGGTGGGTAGATGAACACAGCTCTTGCACGTTGGCTTTAAGCCTTCAAAGCAGGTGAAAAGGCAAAAGTCTGTTTTTCCTTACCTTCTTGCACAGTACATAGTTTGTGTTGCAAATCTGAACAGAATAAAAATGGCTATAATATTTTATGGGATTTTTTATGTATTTGAGATTTCTTTAAGTGAGTGTAAAAGGAAAAAATCTTAGCTGAAAGTTAAGAATGGGTGGATCACAAAAGGTAAATTTTCTTCTGGAGTCATGGGATGACCAGGTCTTTTTTTAGGGGAAGAAAGAAAAGCACAAATGTGATGCCACGTTCAGAACAGGCAGTTCAGCTGGGACTTACTGCTCCTTGACCCAGATATACAGAAGTGCTTGTACTGTTGAAGTGTTACATGGAGAGCACAGAGGTAAGTTTTCCTGAAGTGAGAATTTCCCAAATTACATCATGGCTGTCTTTGAAGTCTCTTATTCTGGGACTGGAAACAGGACTGATGCAGCTTTGAACCCTGCGGAATGCTGTGTGTGTGTGTGTGTTGTGGGAATAGATGTGTCAAAATTCTTTCCCTTTGCACTGAGCATTTTCATCTTGAATTTTCAAAGCTGACATCTGGTATGAAAGAGTTGGTGCTTACCTGGTATTTCGTGGGTATCAGACGGAGGCTGGCTTCAGCTGAAATTGTGGTAGTAAAAAGCCTCTGAGAAAGAAACAGACCTACAATGCTGTCACACTGCTTTTTATCTTGCAGACTTTCACCTTAGATGGTGTAAAATGAGTCAATATTGATGGCTCTAATAGAGGTGCTGGTGTAAAACCAGACGTGGCTCTGTAGTGCTACAAACCTGTGACTGCCAATCAGTGGGCATCACCCAAGCACTCTGTTAGGTATGTGGCTCCAGTGGGCTGCTGCTGGACCTGGGAGGGGGGTCTGTCTGTCTGTCTGCTTTGAGCAGCCCAAAGCTGTGTGGCGAGGATCAAACCCATCCCAAAGGGCAGCTGGTTTGTCCCTTCAGCACATGGCTGGAGGATGTCATGCTGCGCTCATGGTGTGCTTTGTGCATGTCAAGGTGGTCATCTCTTTGGGTTTTTGATTTGTAGGTTTCAACTATGATCTCGGTGAGATTAGTTTGAGAATGGTGTTTTAGGCAAGGATGAGAATCCCCACTTTGTGTCATGGTGTGAAGGAAATGCAGGAACTGTGGGGCTGGAAGGGATAGACATGAAGAGAGTACTGAGATGGGCTCCTGAATGGGGGGAGCCTGGGCTGTCTGTGTCATTCAATCCAAGGAACATTTGCATCATATGCTTGCTAGATCTAATGTGGAAAATGTCCTTGCAAAGTAAGAGACTGAAACCAAGTAATCTCCCAAAGAGCACGACCTAACATAAAGTAATAACTGACTGCTATTTGGACGGGTTATTTTCTCTGTTCTTTCTGCTTGCTTTTCAAGTCTTACTTTGTCTTGATTTTTTTTTTAAATGTTGGCTTCCTAGAAAAGAAAAGAAAAAAACCAAACCACTCTTATTGCTATTAAAAGAAGCTAAGGAGGGCAAAGAGACTGCTACGTATTTCATTATGATCCAAAAAAATCTTTCCAAGGACTGTAGAAGTATTATCACTTCATGTGTCTTGTACAATTTTCCATCTTTACAACTTTATTTGTTAGCACTTTGTAACTTCCTTTAAGTTAGGCTCTCTCCAGGTTACCACAGAGCATGCAATATACATTTTCAATTGCAAAAACAGGTTGCCTGAAAACTGATGTGTAAAACAAAGATCACGTTGTCACTGTTTTATTTGCTGTCACTTGATGTGAGCATCCATCATGCCATCATGAACTCATCAAGAGCTTTGTAACTCAGCTAGTAAATGTTCTTCTACCTTACAGCTCATGAACTGCTTCACAGGCTGCCAGCCGTAAGCCAGAGATTCCCTAGTTTAGGAAGCAGCCTGTTCTGTTCAGTATCCCTGTGAGTAACTTAGAGAAAGTAATGCAGAGTTTTCTCCATGCCTCTTTGCTGCTGCTAATATATGACTTTATGTGCCAACGAGCCTTGATCTATCAGGCAGTGAGCATCCTACATAAGAGTCTTAGTGTCAGATGTGAACTTTGTGTGCCTCTTGGCAGGCAGTCACGTGAGCATTGGCAGCAAGTCATGGTGAGCATATGTGCTTGAGTGGTTCCTGCCTAATGGGAGACTGCTTGATGTTCTCTCAGAAAGATAACACTTTTTTTCAGGAATTCAGTAAAGTACATAGGTTTTGAGGACATGGTTGCATTTTGTGGAATTAGCCGGCTGTGTTTCTTTGCAGTCTGGAATTTTGTGGTCCAGCTAGCATTGTGTCTGCTGCTCATAGTCCTTGTTGGCTTGCTGAGTGCCAGGGCCATCCTGGTAGGAAAACCACTGAAGCCAAAGGGCTTTATAAGTGGGAGTCTGACTGAGGAAAAGAGAGATTGACCCGAGTGCTGTTAGCTCTTAGAACAGATTGAAGTCTCCACACTGCCACAACTATGAACTATTTAATTACCACAAAAAGATGGCATGTCATTTGAGTCAGTGGGTTTGGGCCAGATTGGAGGTCTGGCTTTGCTTACAACTGGTGTAAGGCATATGCTGCGGGTATTTCATCAACTGAGACACTTTTCAGTGGGCTCTGGCCCTTTAGCAACATCCTGTTTCTCCAGAAAGAACTGAGTCACCTGTTGGTAATAAACACAATTTTCACTTGTGCCAAATCTGCCATTCAAGAAAAAGGCATACAGAGAACTGAGTATAGATCCAAGGTTTCTACTATGCACAGTCTCTGGTCAAGAGGAAAAGCCCCCAAAGGTGCTCTGTTTTATGCCAAGTGACATCCATTTATAGAGAATCCCCTTTGAGCTCATTTTCTCTCTTTTGCAGCATCCCACCAACCTCCTGCATGGCTTCAACCAGGAGCATTTGTAATTTTCATCTACATCTGCCAGTTGGGGGTTAATGCTATCAGCACTATGGCATTCCCATGACAGGAAGATCCAACCCTGATTTGGTGCTGAAATACAAAATTCAGTCCCTCCGGCTCAAGAGCCTCCTTCACTTCTAGTCTTCATTATTCCCCTTCTACTTTATACATACAGGGACAGAAGAAATGCCATGATTATAGCTTATGGAGGTACTGCCCAAGAATCTCACAGGAACAATGTGTTTAACAAAAGCCATATGCTAGCATGTTGTTTCCACTGGATTTCTGTAGAGATACCAGAAAGAGGATTAAATCATTAGAGAAAATAAATAGATCTTGATCTGAAAAGTTTGCGAACCACCACTGAAGCAGATTTGTTGTGTCATTGCTGAAGGTGTTGTCTCCAGAAGTTAAGAGTGTTTGCAGCTTCTCTGCTCTTTCAGCATCACTTTAGGTGATTCTTGTCTAGATTCTTTTATTTTTAATCTGAATAGACGCAGTCTCTCCTGGTAGTCTCAGGTGAAAATACTATTTGTCACTT